CGACATAAACTTCAGACAACGTTTGTTCGCAGTACACGAGTTTCATTACTTGAACGTGCTTCCAGTCGGAGTACGTATGGTGTATGACGACTTAGACTGTACCTTCAAATGCCTTTACCATCCTACATGTATTTCTGTGAATCTGGTCGCTGAAGGAGGACTGTGGTGTGAGCTACTGTCGTCTGATAAGTACAGCAATCCCAAGGAGTTCAAACAAAACAAGAGCTCGCATCATTATCAAATTATCGTAAGGACTACTTGTACAGAAAATGTATCTTTTCTTTTATGTTGCGTGGTAGAACCCTAAGAAATCAATGTTTTGCTTACAACAAATAACAGTTGTCACCATTATCTGTTTGTTGTGGTTGTGTTAACCAGCCTAGGCATCGCGAGTTTAATCCTGTCCCAATTCATTGCTCTTTTAGTCGCCTTGTTCCAACAATCCATGCGACAATGGTGGGACTTGCGTGGCCTACCACGAGGATGAGACGTTTAAATGCATATGCAAAAGTGGTTTCATCGGAGAACAATGTGAGAAAGGTATTGGGAGGACGTGGTGGGGACAGGAGGTTTAATCTTAACAGCCAAGTGTACAAAAACTTCCTTCTCTTAACGCAGATTTCTGTAGTATGAAGCGATACGGAGTATTGTAATACGTAGTCATGTTCTTGGCAAGGTTCCACGCGCTTTCATTGACAAAACAGGTTCAACAATTTCCGAAAGGAGGCTGTACGCGGTAGCGTGAGTGGGGCAGGAAAAGCCCCCAATCAAGGGAAACCTTGTTGATGTTTCTAAATTAACACGAATAATCTTTCCTTAAGACATAGATGAGTGTTCTACAGGAAATGACAACTGCAGTGCTAACTCTGAGTGCAGCAATACCAAGGGTTCGTACAGTTGTACTTGTAAACCGGGATATTCTGGAGATGGACGAACTTGTAAAGGTAAATTAACTATCGTTGTATATGACAACTGAATGAGTGTTTGTTGTTGCTCCGTGACCCGCTGATATTGTAAGTTTAGGAGAAGTTCCATGCCTATCATTCCTGGAAATTCAGGGTTTAATCGTGTATAGATATGTAAGTCCTTGTTCTCGGAGGATACTCTCGATACTCGAAGCTAGCAGTTCAATGTAACTGAACGTCTTTGTTTGAAATTTCAGATTTCGACGAATGTTCAACTGCAGAAACCCACAACTGCTACGCTGATGCAGTATGCAACAATACCATGGGATCGTACACCTGTTCATGCAAAACTGGATACTTTGGAGATGGATGGACTTGCAAAGGTAAATGCCCTCTCTTCGCTTGCGTCCCAGGTAAACCGAGTGAGGGTTGAAAAGCTTGGAAATCAAATGTTTTTCTCCTAGTCACTTACAAGGGTTTCAAGTGTTCTAACAATATCTCAAATAGATTGTTAAGATGCAATCCTCTGCTTTTAAAGAAAAACGATGAGTTTCTCGGTACAATAAAACGAGAGGGTTTTAACCAATCAGAGTTTACGTAGACTCTCAGCTATAAGTTGATGATTCTGATGACGACTGTCATTTTCAATTTCGATTGCCAGTGAGGTTTGAGATCAGTTTTACAATGTTAAGTTTACAATAACTGATTTTCTTACAGATATTGATGAATGTGCTACAGGAAAACAGAAGTGTAGTGCTGATGCAGAGTGCAATAATACCAAGGGATCGTACAACTGTACATGTAAACCTGGATATTCTGGAGATGGACGGACTTGCAATGGTAAATTTTCGCCGTCTTCATGGCGTAAAAAATGCAGTAGTCATTTACACAGTAACTGACATAAAAATTGTTACCAAATATTAGGAAATACACCTTAGAAACCCAATTGGCTATTTACAGAGTAGAACCAAGGAGTTAAACTCGGGGGACCAAAAGTAAATCCAGCGAGTAGCAGGACAAAGGGCTTAAACAAAGGACCTCTCTTACGACTCGGTCACGCTACCACAAGAGTAGCATACATCCATCCATTTCAGTCTCCTAAATATTCAATCAATCAAAAGGCAATCTACCAATCAATCACTCTAACTCTGGTTGTTGAGGCTGCTGACCCCTCAGCCTAGTGCTGCTATAGTACATTAAATAGTTTAGGATATATATGTGCCATTTGTACATTCAGCTGTCTTCGAGATTAGTCACAAACACAAGTACTGTCCTTAGATTTATTCGTAACTATGACGCCTCCTTTCTATCGCAGTATCGACGTGCAAAGAAATTTACGCCAAGAATATGTAAGTGATGATTAAACCACCACTTTAAAAAACAGTTTAAGAGAGTGTAAACTTTAGTTAAATGAATGTAAAGGACTCACTAATAGAATGAGGAGACTTTGGGGGTGGAGCGGAAAGAATAAAAATGATAACGGTAACGATAACGAAAATTATAGCAATGATGCTGATTTTAAGTACTGTAGTAGAGTTTCGTAAAAGGTTGAGGGATAAAAAGTCAAGCACAGCTGGAAGTTGTCATTAAAACACCCTTACAGAAGTTATTCGGGATAGAAGGCGGTAAGTTTCTGAAGAAACTGTAGTGCTGCGTCGGTGGGAGAGTATATCGGGGTAATTCAGTTTTATCAACTGAGTTGAAAACGTAAATTGGCCACCATAAGAGTTTAAAGGCTGACGTTCAGAGCGTTAGCCCTTCGTCGCTCGAACGTCAGCTTCTAAACTCTTTTACGGTGGTCAATTTACGCTTTCATGTCTAACAGAGATTGAGGTTGTGTCATCAACAGATCGAACGTGAGTGGAGTGATGACGCTGTACCTCGATTCAAAACCGGTTTCCATTTTCTGTCATATGGGAAATTTTGGTTGTGGAGATGGAGGATGGACTCCAGTTATGAAAACTGATGGCAATAAGGTATAAACTAGCTTTGTTTAGCTACTGAGGTTGAAAATGTAATTTGATTTAAAAGAGATGGTCGCCCAGAGAGGCACTTTAATTGTCAGCTACTGCCTCACCTCTCATTCTTTACTTTCTTTGTAATAAAAATGTCAGATACTTAGGCGAGCCATGGTCATTTGTTGTGGACAGTGAGAGAGGTTATATGTACCTCATTGTTTAATAGAACCTCTCACGATTGACAACGAGTAAGAGCTATGAGTAAAAGCAGGGCAGAAATAAATGCATCCTTCTAGAATAGAAAACATGGTATGACGCACGATAGATTAGAAGGGAAAAGGACTACAATCTAATTTCCAATGTCGTGCTGATTATCATACGATAAATTGATAGTGGTTCGCTAATATCTTTCCCAGGTTACTTTCCATTACAATTCTAGCCTTTGGATAAGCAAGTCTGACTATAACCTTCCAGGAGGTGCGACTGGTTTTGACAGGCAAGAGACCAAGTTACCAACTTTTTGGAACACACCCTTCGAGAAAATCTGTCTCGGTATGAAGATCGATAACCTTACTAACTTCATTTTAGTCAATAAGACGGCTGTCTCGCTACATTCGCTGATAGCTGACGGGAAATATCGCAACACGTCGCTGGGTCTCACGTTGTGGAAATCGCTAATTGGCTCCAACGCCTCTTTGCAGACCAGCTGTGTAAGAGAAGGGTTCAATGCTGTGTGTAGCGACAAAAAAGCGTCAAAAGCGAGAATCGGGATCATTGCTGACGATAAAGAAGACTGCAGCGACTGTGATTCTAGAATTGGATTTGGTACAGGGGGATATCAGGATGATAATCACACTTGCGGAAACGAAGCAACATACTCCCCAGACAATGGAAGTAGGCACATCAAAGCCATGGGATATATCTTGGTGCAGTAACTCTCACTGCCTCCCTACCCTTTATGCAAAAACGTCCTTGACTGTTTCGCATGCTCAGATATCAGTGCACTTAAAAAATAGCTTCAAAATAGGATTGAAAAGCGCTTATAGGAAGCCTCTGTAGTAATAAAACGATTTGATTAGTTTCGCCTATTCAATGTTTGATCAGCGATCTCCGTCATATATACATATATCAAAGAGAGCGTCATTTACACGTATGTCAAAGAGACAGCTTCAAAGGGCTTCTTTGGAGAGTCCATCAGGACCGGGATCAACAAGAAAATGAAGGATGCGATGATACAGACTATTCGTATTTAACAATGTTTTAACCATGTTTAAAACCATCGGAATAAAAGCATTGTCCTCTAAGACAAATATCGCACACCCAAAGTGAACTGTTGCCTCTCCACACCTGATATCTAATGGACACTTCCTCTCCTTAAACTCACCAAGGCTGCCGAAAAAACAAGTCCATAACCACGTGCGTTCCAGGAAAGGAATGGAAAGACCACAACTACATAGGAACCTTTAAGATGAATCATTGAATACTGAAAACAATAACAAATAAAATAAAAATAGGACCAAGTCGCTGCAGCTAAGCCCAACCTTTTCCCCTTGGGAAGGCTCTTTCGGAAATCAGTTCCGTTGTTCATTATATTGTTTCTCTCAATTGGTACGTGCGCTACGATTCGTCAATCTGGCGGACCGAACAGTGAATTCAACAGTTTGTTTTGAATTGAAATCTTCTTCAATCCCTGTATTTATCTTCTCGGATTTGTGGCCCGCGTGGAAAAATTCGAGCGGGAAAAACTCCGTCTGAAACTTACAATTCACTCAATCGCCAGCTTGTTCGGTCACCCCACTAAACGATAACATGGAAGACAGGTCAAGGTTAGAAAAGAGATGCTTGTAGGTTTTCAGCTATTTTGAATCAAACGAACACAACAGCAAAGAAGCAAATCATGAAGGTATGCAAAAACCAAAATATTTCAGAGAACTTATAGCCTTGCTTTATCTCCATCATTGGGTAGGCACGAAAGGCCAACATCGTAAATACTACAAAATTGAAAGACATTTCATGTTTAAAAGGTCTGAAGAGGGCTTTAAAATTCTTGGACTATGCAAAATTGACTAAATTTAAGCCTTGTCGTATGAAAATCGGCGTTAAATACGCCAATCGATTTATTATGTTTTCTAGCCTTTTACTTTGTTTTCTTCCTTCTTTGGCGAGGGTTTGTAAGTTCGAGTGAACATCTGCTAATGTGATTCCGAAGTCTTGGAAGGATCAAACAGATCTGCGAGTCCTGTGGGATCCTCGTATCCTTTAGGTTCTGGCTTGGGTTTTATTTTGATCGGTGGAAGATCTTTAATCCTGATTTCGTTTTTGAACAGTTCGCCAATGTGTTTCTACAGAATAAAACACAAAGCGAAATAATTATTATAATGACAACGTATTTGCGATAAAACTGACTAAAAAAAGTTGGTACAGAAATCAACGAAATAATTGGTATATGCACCCACCCGAAGATGTAACCATTCAAACGAGACCTTACCCTTTCATTAATGGAGTTTGCTGTTAAAATTCGGTTTAATTGGAGATCTAGGGATAGAGTTTGGGGATGAACCTCCTAAGTGTGGCACCATTTCAATGAAAACTTTTGCATAATCCCACCTCGCCCCTCAGTACTTGAGTAAGCTGCTGGAATTTCTTTTAATTTAGATATTTGGACATAGAGTTAGGGGATGAAACTCTTTGGTGTGGCACCATTTCAGTGAAAGCTTTTGGACAGTATATTCAAGTGCAACGGTTCCACAACATGGCTCTAAATAAATGCCTGCCAAAAAAAAAACAAACAAACTTGATAAGACAGTTAAAAGTCTCACCCCAACAATCCCAGACACAATTTTTTTAAACTGCTCTTTCTTTCTCTTCTCGGGAACTTCTCTTCCCTCCAAACAAGAAGCTTCAAAAGCCTGTGAAAGAAAAGAAAGAAAGCTTGAGGAACTTATTGAAAAGCAGGTGAAAATCCTGCTTGAAAGGAAAATAATTTTTCACATGCCTTTGAATTTGCCTGCGAAATAGGTGTAAAAACAATAAGAAAACTGTACCTAGACTTAACCTTCACGAGCACCTAGGTACACGCTGATGTCCATTTTGTCTTTTTTTGAAAGATTTCACAACTAATCATTACGACTTTTAGAGGGCGGAAATCTGTCAAAGAAGGAGACCTTGACGAAAGGCGATCCAACCTTGCAAGCTTTGTACTCGTCAAACTAACCCAAAAACGTTCTACATACATGTAAATCTTCCAACGAACAGTTCGTTTGAAGGAGAAGCTGTTGAAGTGAGGAGTACTGAGGTCTCTGAAATGCGAAAAAACATTACATAAAAGGGAGCCGGCTTTTCTCTTTAAATAGGGACAAGAAACGTTAGTTACAGCGCTTGAAAACGATCTTAGTTTTAAGCCTTCAAAAATCTGAATAGGAATTCTAGTGAATAAGCGCTCGCAGTTTGATGCTCACAATCAAAGCGCTTGAAGAGGTTCTCAGGAATCAGTAAAAGTTTTCCAGCAAAACCCCAATTAGTCGCAAAGCACACGGGAAGAAGAACGTGTGGCTAATTCAGATAAAACTACACTATGAGAGGTAGTGACGTACCAATACCTAAACATCTCGAGTCCTCGAAGGAACGTCCACTCACGCGTACTTTTACAAGTGTTGAACTATCGCCTCTACCCTAGGTATATCAAATCATGATTGCTAGTCCCAAGATGGATGCCTAAGGAACCCTTAAAAACCCCTTTCCACATATCCCCCGGCAAGTAAACGATAATCCGGATAAGCTAACTATTAAAAATGATTGAATTTGGAAACACAATTGTTAAAATATATTAACAGCCTTCTTTCGTTTCTTCCTTGTCAAATGAGGACTGTTTTGCAGGTTTTGGGCACAAGGAAAACTCACCAGAAGTTCATACATATTCTGTCCAACGTAAGTCAGATATGTTTCTGTAGATCCATGGCCATGCACATGAAGACCCTGAAACAAAATGCCAATCAGATTAATCAAAACTTTTACTCTATGTGGCTGGGCTTGACAGTATTGGAGAAAGTGTGTTCTAGTCTGCTTAATTTCCTGCTGTTCGTAGGTCGGTTTCATCGCTAGCTTATTTAATTGGTGGTTCGCCGACAAGGAACGAGATGTCTGCGTATTTCGTATGAAAAGTTGGATCACTCGAGGCCTCAAAACCAGCCTAACACTGCTGTTTATCCTTTCACCTTGTATCTCCACACAATCAAGAATAAATCCACAAATAAATGAATGGAATGAAAATCTCGTTCCAAGTATAAATCGCTGCTGCGATAAATTGTTCTAGCGATATATCGCTACAAAGATATCATGTAAAGTGCGCTGTACATCATTACCAATATATCGCTCCAGTGAAATGTCGCTTCGACGATTTAACGCAGAGCCAGGGATACGTCATTGCGATATATCGCTGTAATGATATATCGCACAAGCGAATTTTGGTTTGGCGACAAACGCATGCCTTTTATATACCGTTAGAGCGAAATTGCTCCTCTACTTTGTTTAATGTGTTATAAACAATTTGTGTCTGTGGTCTCATTGCCTCAATGAAAGTAGCACTAAATGACGGCGTAGTAAAAAACATCATCATACTCAAAGAAGCCCAATAACCTGTTTCGAAACATAACGAGTTGAAGTTTCCCTCCGCTGTAAAATCGACCAAACAAGCAGACAATGCCCACCTTTAAGACCTGAGAGAACAACTGTTCGACTACAGAGTCAGCAATCCGTGAACCAGCCTGACTGCTTAGCATCATAACCTACAAAACGAAAGATGAAACCATATAATTGTCCAAGAAACTATTGAAAAATAAATATTGGTATCCAAGTGCCCTCGAAATTTTGAGGATAACAGACTTACACCCTGATTTAATTTAAAGCGAACGAAAAACGTACCCCCTAATTTCCTTTACTTTTCTTCTCGACTGTAATGGCTGTATAGGAGTAAAGAGTAAGGGACAGACAAAGGACATCAACATTCTCAATTCCTACATACTTCACTCCTGTTATGAGCTGAAGGCAGCCTTACCTCCTTAAGGAAAGTCGTTGCAAGTCGTGTAGCCTTGTGGCAAACAGCAGAATCCGGCCAGGTCAAACAGGCAAAAACTGTGATCAGCATCTGCATGTTGACACTCTAAAATTCACATAAAAACCACAGAATATTTAGAAGTTTACTAGTTTCTTTTCTTTGGTTTGCTGCGCTTGTTCGTTTGTTAGTTTGTTAGATAGTTTGTTTGTTATTTCCTATAACAGCCCTCTAGTCTGTAAACTTAAAATTTACAAATGAAGATAGCTACACTTCCTGTAGAATTTCTAAACTGAACTCCGAGCAACATTTTTTCTGCGTTCATTTCCAGGAATATTTAC